CCCCCCCCCAAAAAAAAAAAAAAAAGCAGCATCCAGTTACTGCTGTTTATTTGTTCCAGTTTCAATTTCAATCAGCATCATCCTTCTGTCTTAAGAACCACTGTGATCCTGTGCAGTGGTGGTCACCTGCTGTCCCAGTTTCAGAGTGTAGCAGCTAACAATAATGTTACTAAAAAAAATACCAAGCAGGGAGTAATTCTCTGAGACACAGTCCTGCTTGTGGGGCAGGGTTTCTGTAAGTCTTGTAAAAGTCCTTAATAAGTGGGAAGGTTTTTTAGGGAAGTGACACATGTAGGCCATTAGCTTTCACTTTAAACAAACCAAACAACAAAAAAACACTTCAAAGAGTTATTAAAATAGGTATGTTCTTCTCTACTAAAAATTAGATTCTGGGTGAGAACAAGAGCAGAATGCAATGTGAGTGGAAAGGAGAAGAAAGTACGTAACAGAGACAGGAAGAAACAATAACAAGATAAACAGTTACACTGCTCTTTTGGCCTCAGTTATTTTAAGGCTTCACTGAGCTAGGTACTGCACAGTTGTGTAGTGAATGACAGCTTCTGACCCCAAAACCTTGCTCCTTAAGGCTGCATGTTCTGTCCTGTGTTTGTATAGCCATGGTGTTTATACACTTTCTCTTTTGATTGTGTTTGTCCTTCTGTTACAAGGTAGTGATATTTATTTTTTACAGGTAGTTGTTCTGCATTCCTATTCCACAAGCATCTTGCCCACTGAACCAAAGAAGTTGTGTCAGAGTAGGTAACAGAGTCTCATCTCTGAGTCTCAGTGTTTTCAATAGTGGGTAACTCCAACTTTTGACAAGTCCTTTCCTGGGGAAATGGGACTTCAGCAAAGCATGTTGGCAGTTGCCAGTTTATATCTTATGACACTGGGGGAGAGGATTTCAGATGACTCAGGATAGTACCAAAAATAATAAAAGGTATTTGCACAAGCTAAAAACTGCCTTGAGCAGGTCTGCCAGTAGCTATCCAAGTTGAAGGGACTGGAAAAGCATCTGACAGTATATTGGGATAGTGGTAGTAGTGATGAGTTAGAATATATTAAGAAGTGAGATTTTGCTTCAGAAAGAAGTATCGCTTACTAGGCCATTCAGTATGCTTGGAGAAAAACAGGCATACTTTTTGGCCAGGAGATCTCATGAAGATCCTTAGTAATGTATTGAAGGAAGAAGTAATGCCTTGTAAAAATGGATCTATTCGTCTGTATTGCAGAATATGGCTTGTGGGAGGGAGTAAAAACTTGGGTGTTTTTCTTGAAATACACAACTTCTAAGGTTTATCAATGCACAGTGTTTCACCAGAGGTGTGGAGAAAACTGCTCTGGGCTTACAGCAGACTTTTTTTCCTCATGTTGGTTGGTATTCAGCTTTTTTTTTCTACTTTATGGTTTTAAATTTATTGAAAATGTACTTAAGACTTGCAAGACTTGCTCAACAGCTGTTGTCTGTTTTAAATAACCATTTCAAAAGCTTGCTATAATAATAAAATGAACAAGATTAGAGTTGCTTTCCTTGACTCTGTTAAAACATTTCATAACCACAATGCTTAATTATTTTTCAGTTTTTCTCTACACTTGTTGTTTGACCCCTAGTGTAGGTCAAACTTTACATGACCATTGTACAGTATAAGCATGCACTGTAATCCTCATTTAGGAAGGCATATATAAATTCAGTTTTAATTGTTTTTAAATGTAACTGCTCTTCGATACTAAAAGTTTTGTGGATTACAACTTTCTTTCTAATGCCATGCTCTTGTCAGAGAAGGAGCAGGATGAGTTTGATGGAAAACTGTTCAGAACATATTAATTGCATAGGGTATATCAGATATGGAGAAATGGCATGTTTTAGCTGTTTCATTTAAGGCTTTTTTATCCTCTTCTGTGATGTTGTTGTGAAACTTCTGGTTTTTTCCTGTTTGTGCTGCTCAGGGGAGTTCATCACAGCTTCAGTCTTGGACTGTGCAGCCGTCCTTTGAAGTGATTCCAGCTCAGCCACAGCTAGTGTTTCTTCGGCCATCAATCCCACCTCCACTTAACTCTCGCCCTGTTGGGAAAAAGAGAAATAACCCCACTAATTACCTGCCCATCCTGAATTCTTATCCTAAAATAGCACCACAGCCCTGCAAAAGAGGTCATTCCTTTGATCTAGAGGAACGTCAGGAAACCAGTTGCCATAAACGACTCTGCACAGAAGAGCCCAAGATGGAGACTCCTCCTGTTTCAAGGTGCATGGGCTTGCCTACTAGCCCTTTTGCCCACCTACCAGTTAGCTTTAAGACCCCTCAGGATTCAAACCAGCAAAGTTCTTCAACTCTGGTGACAAGTGGAAAGCTCTCAACTCTTCCTGGGTTTCATTGTGTTTCCAGTGACACTCAGAAAGTCCCAGGTTTGACTCCCCGTTTGCCTTTTGGAACTCTGCAGACCACAAAGTGCACCCCTCAGGAGAGTGAGGGTGCAGCACAGACTACAATGCAGTCTGCAGTGTGGAGCCCCCCATTGATACCAGATGAGATTTGCACTACCCCTGAGCTGCTTTTGCAACAACAGAGCAAGTGCAGACGCTTTCAGAACACACTTGTTGTGCTACGCCGGTCAGGGTTGCTGGAGATCACTTTAAAAACCAAGGAGCTCATTCATCAGAACCAGGTGACTCAGGCTGAGCTGGACCGGCTGAAGCATCAAACACAGCTTTTCATAGAAGCAATAAAGAACAATGCCCCACAGTCATGGGCAGAGCTAGAAGCATCTCTAACAGGATCTGATAAAGCTGATAGCAATCTTGAAGACCCCACTTATCCCAACATGTAGTGAAAAGGTACATAGCTGTTGATAAGTTATTTCTGTGCCTCCGATTTCTTGTCTCAAGCTTTTACTTGAGTGTTTTCTGAGTCCAGAACTTGGGAAGTGGCATGCCATTAACAAGTTGTCTTCAGAGCCAGTTTCGGGTCTGGAATAGCATGGTGGAGCCTTGACAGAATGGGTACTTACTCCTTCAGCGTGACTTTGAACTCCATGCTAACTGTGTGTGCTTTCTTGGACTCGGGAATCTTGGATGTGCTCTGCTGGTATGTTACCATTCTTGCACTGAGAAGACAGTCATTTGCAGTATTCTGCAAGGAAGCATTTTCCTATTCTTATTTTCAGATAATCAGTTCTGAGAATGGAACAGCAGAACAGGTCCCAGTATTAAGGCACCATCAGTTTCAAGTAGGTGAAGAGAGCTGGTGTGAGGAGAGGAAATGCTGGTGGAGTAGTATCTTTAGGCTGTTGTCTTTTGTTGTAGCAGCATCTTGCTTTGGGTTTTCAACACATTTGAATTGGTGATCTGCTTGTGCTGAAGCAGCATTCTATATTCATTGCAGTCTTTGGTTAAAGTGATGAGAGTCTTAGGACCCAAGTGGAGTGATGTGTTTTGGTGAGTATACTTTTGATTGGATCTATACAGTTGAGTGAGTGAAAATCACAAGGCTTACACTGGGAATGTGTATTTATTAGCCGTATTTATTAATGGCTAACAAATATACAAGGCAACTGGCTTTGTATTTTCTCAAAACATAACAGATTAGATGCTGTTATTAGACTGCAGTTCTTTTTTTTGAAACAGTACAAGGAAGATACAAGGATTCATTTTGCAAGACTAGTTGCCTATTATTTTATATGCATATCTTTAGTTTACAAGGCCAAACTTTTTTTTTTTTTTTCTCTGTGAAATCAGATTGCTAAGTATTAAAAAAAAGAGGTGAAAGGGAAAGGAGCCTGATGACTTGTGGTAAAACAAGTCTGTCTCCCATCCCCCTTCTCTCTATTCTTAATTTAGGGAAATCAGATTATGATTATTATCAGATTATTAATGTACCTGAACAAGAAGGGAGGGTGGGGTGAGTGGAGAGGAGGGGGAAAAAAAGAGCTTGGGTGATCTCAGTAAACATTTTATCTACCTGAGTTTGAGCTTAAAAAAAATAAAATAATAAAATTTTTCCTTCATATATTTATATATTATTCCTAGCCTGCTTACCTTGAGATATATCTAACATCACTGTATGCATAACGTATTGGGCCTTACTAGTAGAGATCCACAGTAGTCCTGTTACAAAAATTGTTCTACCAACATTTATTTCACTTGAGTTTATTTAGACACTTAACTATGTCACTGCCTCCAATCTGAAGGGTTTTTTCAGAGATAGTCTATGTAAAGAACTAAAAATGGCTTTTTTTAAAGAATCTGGATTGTTTATGATACGGTCCTTTCTGTGTGACAGTGTTTTCAAAAACTTGTGCAGTGTAGGTGACTGGGTATTTTGATGCTTTGATCGCTTTCTGTCATCTGTTTCAGATTCTGAAAAAAACTTGAAAGTGGAGTGGATGTCTTGCTAATTGGTGACTAGACCTTTTAATTTTCTGATGCCTCTGGGAATCAATATTGCAGAAGACTGGAGAGTGCTTTTGTAGGCTTCCTCAACTATGTTAATTAGAGAAACTGTAAGGGGCTTCCCTCTTGTAAAGGGTTTCCCCCTTTTTAGACTGATGAAGAGAAATGCTGTACATGCCCCACACAGAGGAGAAATAAGAATCATATTTCTACGAGCCATAGGCCTAGAGGGAAATTCTGAGGCAGGATTTGCCTTAGTGGAGCTGTAGCAAACTAAGAGCCATGCCTTTCATGGTATCCTGCCCACCTGCTGAAGACTAGTGCAGTACATGGGAACTGATTAAAAAGAGAAGTGTTTATAGACTATGTTCTGTCATGTGCTTTATGAAATACACCTTCTGTAGTCATGCTTACTAGGATGTGTCATAACTCGTAGCTGCACCAAAACAGCCAGCAAACCCAGAAGGCAGGAAGGTAGCATCATACAGTGTAATAATGTAGGATATAGACCATCTAGCTCTTCTGGAATCAGTTGTGATGTCTGCACCACATGACATTTGGCAGGATAGATGTGATGGTACCGTAGGCCGTTTGTGAAAGAATCCCAAAATATAAGCTTGTTTCTTCTGAGCTTACAGGAAGAAGAGGCAGTAGGATCCATTGATCTTATACTTTTAATAGGCCTAGAGGTGAGGTGTGAGAGAATGCATAGGATATCTTTCCTACTTCTCCAAAAATTCTTATTCTACTCATTAAAAAGAGAGGAGAATTTGAAGGTCAGAATATGTGTATTTTTAGGAAGTGGTCCTCCTAGAAAAGGAGATGATGAACTCAGGCTACCTAGAGATGAAAGGAAGTCAGAAAAAACAAAAAGTCTCAACCCTAGCTGTTTGAGGCAAGAAAAAGTGAGTATAACGAGGACTTCCTCTCCATCCTATTTCCACTGCTCTGATAGAATAAAAGGAAGGAAAGATTGGCCTCTGACTTAAAGAGACTCATGCTGATGGAAATCTTTCATCGTCCACACAGTACCACATGTATCTTTTCCTTTGACAGCACTAGGCATGGGCTGAGGAACGTGTGCTTATAGCTGATGGACCTTTCGGCTGGTATAGTTAGTATAAATATATATTCAGTAAATCTGTAAATAAAGTCCATCAGCTGATTAGAATTTTTCTATTGGGTGTCAGTCCACATTTAAATAGTATTTGCTGAATTAGAAAAATCCACTCTGAATCTACAATGTGTAAATCTGAGGCCCCTTAGCAGGCATATCCCTAGATAACTGCAGATCTTGATGCAACATCTATAAAAAAGGACGTTGAAGTCCTGTAGTGATAGATACATCATCAAGTACCATTCTGTTCAGTTTCTCTTAGCTGCCTTTATTCCTAGTAGCCCTAGTAAACCTTTAAACAATAAGGGCTTTTTTTTTTTCTTGGCTGCAATTTAATAAAATAGGCTAGCTTGGAACTGTGTTGAGAAATTTAGTTGACTACATTAGCACCAGAATAGGTCCTGAGCCTGGGCAGGATCTGGAAGTGGTCCAGTAGATTTGAGCAGAAACATTACCTTCTCTGACAGGAAACTTCTAAGCAATGAACTTAGGTATTTTTTGACCTTTGAAGCTTCAAGACTTCACATTAACAAGGTAGCTGAAGACAGCTGTCCCAGTCTAAAGTATTATCAAATGGCCTTCTGGAGCTTCAGTTGTTGCTCACAACTAGCAGGCCTTGTAGTTTGATGGGACAGACAGACTTCTTGTTTTCTATTAAGTTTTAATAAATGTTGATATTTTTGATTACTTTTACTGTGTATTTTTTGAAATTCTACTGCTCTAAGTGGAATGTAAACATTTTCTGTACTTTTGAAGTCCATTGCCAGCTCTGAATGCAGTAACCTAATAACTCTGTTGTAGAACATGACCTTTTTGCTAAAACTTTACAGATACAGACTGTGAAATATGAATGGAATAAAGTATATACTTTAAAAGTTTGTGGGTTATTTGAGTGCTATTGAACTGCATGATTCTTTGTTCCAAAGCATGCTTTGCATATAGCTCAACAACAGGGTGTTACCCATGTGGGAAAGTGCAGATCCAAAAGTGATACTATGGTGTATCTCTGTGAAGAGAGCCATGTGAGCTTTAACAGTATGTAAGAATTAAAGGGTCTCTGGGAGGAGCATGGGTAAAAGTGGGCCGAACAAAATACTAAAAATACATTGTCGTGGGTGACCATTGCCATAGATCTGTCATGAACAACCTGGAAAGACTTTTCCATCTCTGAACTGTTATCTCCATGCAATGACTATATATTATGCTCACCATCTGTGCAGGATCAACTCCTACACTGCAGCTTAATCACGTCAGCCAGGTATGCAGAGTTTCTTAATTGTGAAGTGAGGATCTTGACTACTTACTTGAGTAAAAAAATGTACTCTCTCAACGAACATTCTTCAACTAAATCTGTATAGTAGCTTTTCAGTAAAACACATTTTTCAATATGTGACCATTTTTACATGGTCTTTGCTCAAAGATTATTCTTATGGTGAAAACTAGGTCATTGTTCCTAGAACATCCAACAGCCTATGGCATAAGATCCTGTGCTAAGACACAAGAGATTGTGGTTAAATTCTTACTTGGCACCAGACAAGTCAATAACTTTAATTTCATTACTTTACATCCAAAAGGTGTGCCATCCATTGAAGAAATTTTATTCCTTGAGACTGGAAACTCATTGTTTGCAACTTTTGTATTTGTAGAAGGATGGGTACAATTCAAGCAGGAAATCTTCAGGTCTCTGTCTCTTCTGGCTAGCTCTTTACATGGTAAAGTCTATTTGCAGCATGTCAGGCCTGTTCACCCTTTTTTCACTGAGGCCAAAAAGGCAAATTGCTTCTTTCAGCTGTGCTGCATCCATCTTGTCTTTCTTTCTCGTGGTACACAAACAGTCTGAAATGAGCAGTGTACCCTGCACGCTTGGGCTTTGGAATCTCCTGGCATGCAAAATTTCTGACATCCACTAGGCTGCTGTTACTGCTTTTGTTCTTCTAATTCCTGGGAGAGACAAGTGAGGTCCCTACCTACAATGGTATGCTCTTGCTGTATGTAGGCGATGCTTCCTTTCAGGCCACTGTTTAATGCAACTGTATAGCCCCAACTGTATTGCATGGTCCAGAGTGTCCAAAATGCATGAGACTTCCCTTCCTAAACCTGTACCTCCTCTGAGGTGTGCTATGACACAATTTTAACTGTTCCAGTTTAGCAGAAGGAAACAATGTTCTCGGTCCACTCTTACATAGATTGCGGTTTCCAACACTTACTCACATTCTTGTTTGAACTGAAGCCTGTTTTTAGAAAAAACATCTTGCTTTGATTTGAAAGCTCCTAGCAATAAAGAATCCACCCAAATTGTTAAAAATATAATTACTTACTGTT